CTACCAGGTATTTCTGGTATTGCTTATTGTTTTGTTACTTTGGGTTGAACATGGCAGTGTGGGAACTACCACCATATGTGACTTAAAGAATAGAAGAACAGATTGTGGATGTTTTATAGTGGTAGTAAGGATTAAGAATTGATGAAAATAGGGAGATATTGCACAGGACCGAAAATGAAGATTCAAACAATGTTTTGGTTAAGTGGATTTCACGATAGAAAGTAAACAGATGTCACTGATTTCTTTGTTGATCATGAAAAAAGCTGGCATATATAATGAACTGCTACTGAAGGATGTATGTTAGTCTTAACAAGGAAGAAATTGAAATTCAGGGAGCAATGTGGTGAAAAATATCTAAAAGTATGGCCAGAGTCCATTGAAAAGTTCAGTATTTCTAGACAGCTCTTTTATGCATTCTCCTCAACTGTATGTTATGTTAAAAACTTTTTATCATTTACTTTTCCCTCACTGTGACCAGAATACAGTCATTTTCTTTGGGTCTTGCTCTGTTGCCCAGGCTGGAGTGCAGTGGCATGATCATGGCCCACTACAGCCTTGAACTCCTCAAGCAATCCTCCCACCTTAGCCTTCTGAGGGTAGCTGAGACCACAGGGCTGTGCTACTGTGCCCAGCTAATTTTTGTATATTTTGTAGAAATGGGATTTTACTGTGTTGCCCAAGCTGTTCTCCAACTCCTCAGCTCAAGCAATAAGCCTGCCTCCCAAGTGCTGGTATTGCAGTCTGAGCCACCATTCCTGGCCCGAATACAACCTTTTTCTCCAAGGAGTGTTACACTCTGGGAAAAATCAAGTGTATTGCCTGCACAGTTAAGGGAGGCCTAGGAATCAAGACCTCTTTTAAGACTTCAGTTGTAAAGATCCTGTTTCCAAAATTACTTAATACTTGAAATGATGTTAATAAATCAGCAATAATAAATGTTTAACATTTTAGCTGACACTGGGGTTTGAAAATGAACCTGTAGATACTTCGAAGGATTTTCTATCACTAATGAGATGATGGTACCTAATCCCTTTAATTAATTATCCCATACATTTAATGGCCAAAGCCATAAATATGTCTGGAGAAGCTGATGTTGAAGAAATGCTGGTGGCTGGTGGGCACCTGTAGTCCCAGCTACCCGGGAGGCAGAGGCAGGAAAATCGCTTGAATCCAGAAGGCAGAGGTTGCAATGAGCCAAGATCACGCCACTACACTTCAGCCTGGGTGGCAGAGTGAGACTCTATCCCCCACCCCCCAAAAAAATGGGCTGGGCACGGTAGTGCACACCTGTAGTAGCAGCTACTTAGGAGGCTGAGTTGGAAGAATCACTTGAGCCTGGGAGGTGGAGGTTGCAGTGAGCTGAGATTATACCACGGCACTCCAGCCTGATTGACAGAGCAAGACCTTATCTCTAAATAAATAAATAATTTAAACACACACACACACACACACACACACACACACACACACACACACAAATATTTGATGTGTTTAAGGACAGGGTGAAATTTTGACCTTTGCAAAATGTATTCATAGAAATTTTGAATTCCAAAATATATCTGATGCCAAATGTTTTAATTAAAAATGGTAGTAGACCTGTACTATAAAAAAAGGAGGACATGGTGACTTCCAGAACAGCAGAATAAGAATCTCTGAAAATCTCTTCTTTATAAAAAGCAGCAAAACACTGACAGAAGTTGTCAGAATCAACTTTTGTAGAACTCTAGAAATTAAAACTTCACAAGTTGAAGCTTTACAATAATCTTAACAGCCTTTATTTGAGAAAAATGGTTGAATCTCAGTAAGAACAATTAGCTTTGTAGCATTTTTCATCTTTTTCCATGGCCCTTTCCCTAGCTCCATGGTAGCCTTGAAAACTAAGCCTTACAACACAGTAACTATGAAAAACAGCAGCCTAGCAACCGTGGAAGGTACAGAACAGGTTTGCAGCCCCACCAAAGGCCACAACCCAGAGAATCATCACCACTTGACCTCTCTGGCAGTTCTCAAGACTTGTGTTTACATGAACTGTCTTAAAGCTTGCTTAATGTTGTCCTGCCCCAGTGTATTTGTCAAGAAGAATCATTATTTAATATAACATGTCTTAGAGGCACTGTTACCAGCTGGCACTAACAAAAGCCTGGCCAAAAATACTTAAAAGGGGACACAGAAATGAGATATCCATAGGGGGCTTTGAAAAGCTCTAATATTTTCCTGAGAGTCTAGAATGATTCCTGTGAGAAGGGCTGTTGCACATACCCAAGAAAGGGGAGAAGGCCCTAATTTCTCTTCTTTGGCTGCCCTTGAGGGTTTATGCAAGCAGAAAGTTCAGGCCAGTCAGAGTTTTAGACTGACGACAGAAGTATCGAAAGCATGGCCCAGTACAGCATCTTGGCAAATGCTGGGGAACTTACTGGTTCAAGGCATTTAAGAAAATCCCTCCAGTTATTAGTAAGAGACTTGTAGCTGGACACAACAAAGAAAACAGGTATGTCATTAGTCCAGAGAGTCACTTAAGGCACAGCAACAACAGCAACCTAAAGCCCTGGGGCAGGGTGGGCGGTGGTGCATACAATCTGATTTCCAGAGTTACCCCATCATATTACTTAAAGTGTTCCATTTTCCACAAAATGTTACAAAACACACAAACAGAAAAGTATGGCTTATACACACAAAAAGTCAGTCAGTATAAACTGTCTCAGAAAGCCCATATGTTGGACTTACAGGGCAAACACTCTAAATCAGCTACTACAAATATGTTATAAAAGAACTAAGGAACATCATGTTTAAATAACAAATAGTAGGGAATTCCATGTTTAATAAATAATAAGAAACACCGTGTTTAAATAATAAAAAGAACATATCAGAACAATTTCTCCCCAAGCAGAGAATATCAATAAAATGATAAAACTTACTTTAAAAAGAACCAAACGAAAACACAGGATTTGAAAAGTACAGTGATTGAAATGAACTGTCTTGCTTAACAGCAGATTTGAGCCAACAGAACACAGAACCTGAAGACAGGTCAATTGAGATTACACAACTGGGAAGAGAAAGAAAATGAAGAAATATGAACAGACTTGGGGGAACACCATCACGCATTTCGACATAAACATAATAAGAGTCCCAAAAGAAGAAGAGAGGAATGCATAGAAAGTTTAAGAAAGAGTGGCCCCAGAATCACCGAATTTGATGAAAAACTTTATACATCCAAGAAGCTCAACAGTGTAGCGTTGGGGTTTCTTTTTGGGGTGCTGAAAATGTTCTGAAACTTGATAGTGGTAATGATTGGCTAGCTCTGGGAATGTGCTAAAAAACTAGTGAATCATGTACTTTAAAATAGCAAATTTTACGGTATGTGAATTGTGTCTCAATAAACCTTTTTCATTAAAAATTAAAAAAGGGGGAGCATGATCTTTATGTAGAGATGGAAAGATCTCCAAGATATATATTCAGTTTAAAAAAAGGAACTTCACATTGTATATAATGTGCCACATTTTGTAAGGAAGGAGAGAGAAATTTGTAGTTCTTCCATCTTACATTAATAAACACTGTAAGGATTCTCAGGAAATGGATAGATATGGTCACCCAGAGAAGCGGAAGTGAAATGACGGTGTGGTTTACAGTGACATGGATGGAAGCAGGACTTCACTGTATATCTTTTTCTATTGGTTTCTCATTTTGAAGTATGTGTGTATTATTTTTTAAGAAACTTTCTTAAATCCCTGTGGAGATTTAGTGGAGAAATCTCATAGGGAATCTAGTGGAGTGGAGGAAATAGGCTACAAAGAAGTAAGTATTTTCAAAATTTTCCTTACCTATGGGCTGTTTTATTTCATCAATTGATATTTATTAACTCGGCCCAGTATGTAGGAGATAAAGGCCATTTGAACACCTGAAATCTATTGTGGGTAGGCAATCTGCAGATTGGCTTCTTGTTCAGAAGTTTCAGTTCTTAGTGAGAGACGTTTTAGATTCTGAGCACATTTTCTTGTGCAAACAATGTAGTGAGGAATGAGTAGATCATTAATGATAGATTCCATGGTCGGATCACAAAAGCTGACCATAATATCACCAAATTGTATTGTAACAGGACCAAGAGTATAGAGTGGACTTAAATATTTACTGAATTGTTTAAAGTGTTTTAGAGTTTAAGCATCTGAAACAGGAGTTGGCAAACTCTCTGTCAATGGCTGGGTGGTAAATGTCTTTGGTTCTGCGGGCCATACTGTCTCTGTTCCAGTGATACAAGCCCGCCTTTGTAGTAGAGAAACAGCCATGGGCAATATATAAACATCTGGGTATAGCTGTGTTCTATAAAGGTTTTTACAAAACGGCCTCCGAGTTTGGCCCATGGGCTGCAATTTACCAGCTTCTGATCAGGAGTATTATTAGAGGGAGAGAAGTAAATGTATTCTAGTTCTTAACACCAATAATACATCTTCCTTTGTTCTGTCTATTGGAGTGTCAGAAGAACAGACAGTCCCAATTCTATGGTTGTGGTGGCAGCATGGATATCGTTTAGGGAATTTATCTTAGGTGTCAGCACTGAAGCAACAATCTCTGAAGTATGAGTCCTTGAAGGAGAGAGATGCCACTGAAACTTGTAGCTGAAAGAGGAAACTATCTGTCTGAGTACTTAGTCCCCTGCATTCCCACCTTTACTACTTGCCATGCTGCCATAGGACACAGTAGGGAAGGATACTGAAATGGAATTCGATCTGGGCTTGTGCCACTTAGCAGCTTGATGACCTTTCCTTGGCCTCAGTTTCTCCAACTAAATTTTAGTATCCCCATACATAATGTGAAGAAATTAGACTAGAGATGATATCGAAGACCCTTCTGGCTCTGAAGATAGCATTTAGGGGATTCTGATAGCAGCAGGTATACTACATGTGATTGTTTTTAAATCAGGAACTTCAGATACAGGATTTCTGAAAAGTGTTTGCTTGGAAAAATGTAGACATGGTAAGTAATTGTCACTCATGCTTATCTTTTAGGGGCTAAGCGATGGACCTTGTACTCAGTGTTGCAGATTATTATTTTTTTACACCATACATATATCCAGCTACATGGCCAGAAGATGACATCCTCCGACAAGCTATTAGTCTTCTGATTGTAGCAAATGTTGGTGGTTACATCCTTTATTTCTTCTTTGCAACATTTAGCTATTATTTTGTCTTTGATCATGCATTAATGAAACATCCACAATTTTTAAAGGTACGAAATTTTTAAACCTATTTTCTAACTACTATTACAGTCAAAATAACAATATGATATATTTCTGAGATTTTTAGATTACGTGAATTACATGTAACCATTAAATAAAATTTTGGAGACTAGCCACAAATGGGTTAGATATTATAATGAAGGTTAATCCCATCTCTCCTTCCATTAATTTAAACAAATCTAATGTTTTAATAAACTGTAAGTGTAGTATCTTATCTTGCTAGATGCATATTGGAGCATTTCTATACTGATATTGATGAATAAATAAATGCATACATTTATGTAATTATTTTAATATGTGACTTTCACAAACATTTTTTTTACCTTTTTTTTTTTTTTTTGGCTAGATAGGGGATTCAGACTCAATAGTTTTAAAGTTGTTTATAATCATTTTTAAATTTCAGTTATTTGTGCTTGTCAGTGACTCCAGGAACTGAACGGCAAAAAGTAAAAAACAGAGAGGATTGGGGATGGAAGTTAATTAGGAAAGAGCTGGAGTTTAGAATACAGATTTTATGGGAAGGAAAAAAAGGTTTCATAATTTTAAGTACTTATTGCATTTGCTCAGTACAAAAGGAATGATTTTCTTACATACCAGTTTTCATGTATTTAAAATTTTAGTAGAAACAGTTTGGAGGTAAGCCCCTTTGTGTAAAAGAGATTTTAAAAATCCAGTCCAGAACAGTTCAATGCTAGTTTTGTTTAACACAGATTTTGTGATTTTTAAGTACTGGAAATTTCACTTTCAGAATCAAGTCCGTCGAGAGATTAAGTTTACTGTCCAGGCATTGCCATGGATGAGTATGCCTACTGTTTTACTGTTCCTGCTGGAGATAAGAGGTTACAGCAAATTACATGATGACCTGGGAGAGTTTCCATATGGTAAGTAAATAATATGAGTGTCAGGAAGAGAGTAGTCTAAGCACAGATTAGTTTCCTTAAAAAAGTAAATCTGCCTCTTTTTTTTCCATCTTTTAAAATAATTACAAATTATTCTGTTGTTTTTAATGTTCTGTTTTCATGTGTTCATGTCTTGCCACGTGTACGTTTCTTTGCTTTTTTCTATCAATTTTAAAGTATGTTGTAGATGAGATTGGGTCTGGTGGAAGATTGGAGTGATTAGAGATTGGTACTTGCATTTGTTTTCTATTAGTTATTCAACTTCTAAAAAAACTTGAGTAGTTTATGGTAATTGCTGAAAGTTAGAAAATACAGATGTTTAAAATCCATTATTCTGCATCTTAGAAACTGTAACTCTTTTGGCATATGTCCACCCACTTTTCTGTGCCTATATACTTCATTGTTTACATTTCACAGATGAAGTCCTGAGGCACATGGTGATTTGGACTCTTAATTTTTTTTTTTTCGCTTAGCAACTTACATGGTTGTATTTTCATGCCAATAAATATTGAGTTTATGTAATATATTAGTCATAGTATTGTATGGCTATTCATAAATTATGGAAATGATACCTAATTGTTAGACCTTCAGATCATTACTCTTTTTTGTATGATAAACAGTCCTGCAGTGACTAAACTTTTATGAAATTTTGAAAGTTTTTCAAGATATATTTCTAGGATCTAGTATGTATAAAGCAAGAATCATAGTATTTATTGAAAGCTGATATGTGTCGGTGACAGTTCTCAGCTCTTCACAAATACCAATCCATTTTTTTCCCTACAATTCCATGAGATAGGTACTATCACTATGCTCCTTTTATAGATGAGTCAGTGAGGTGTACTTAAAGTTTCAGTAACAAATAGGTAGCAGATCTGAGACCTGAACTCAGGCTTCCTGGCACCAGCACACCCACTCATTAAGTAATAAGTTACTTATTTAGAAGAGGGAACAAAAAATTATATACTAGGGTAATGAATTGGCTGGGCTTTGAAAAATGGATATGATTATGAGTAAAAATAAAAGGAGGCGGGTATTTTAGGTTCTTAGACCCCTATGAGGAAAGATACAGAGGTAAGACTTCCAAGACGTTGAGAGGATGTTGAGTAAACCTGTCCGGATAGAGCAGAAATACAGGAATGATGAGGTTGGAAAGATCCAAAAGGGTTGGAGTATGGAATAAATGCTAAATTTAAAGTATTTCGTGGAAAGTACATTTTAAGTAGGGAGATAATGTGTAAAGATAGGTTTTAGGAAGATTGATATGAAGGAAGTGATTATTCTCAGAGATTTAGATATAAAGATGCCTTAGGAGTATCCTGTATCATAAATAACTTTATAGTTTAATTAAGTACTTTAGGTAGAAAATTTCAAGTACTTATGAGAGGGAAATGAGGAAATGACTGGATTCTAGGAAGTCGGGAGAGATTAGTTTATATTGAATTAGCCAAAACAGATTGCTGATAGTGTTTGAGACTAGGATCAACGGCTTGCTGATAGTGTTTGAGGCTAGGATCCTGTTTTGCACTTAGATGGACATGTGAAAAGTGAACTCTAATCCTAGGAGCTCAGTTTTGATTCTTCTGTTTCCCATTTTCTTATCTAGGATTGTTTGAACTCGTTGTTAGTATAATATCTTTCCTCTTCTTCACTGACATGTTCATCTACTGGATTCACAGAGGCCTTCATCATAGACTGGTATATAAGGTAATGTCACTTATGGGAAAAAGAGAAAAAAAGTTACACATTTCAGCAATGTATGATTATAAATTCTGTTCTCTGTTTCCAAGAATGTTCCTCTAACCATATTAAATGTCTAAGTAGCCATAATCATAACAGGTACAGGGTGCAGTTTGTTCATATTCTTCTTTATGGATCTAAGGGGCTGTCTTAAAATTGTTCTGTTCTGGCAGTAGGTACACATGGACTCACAGAGTGGAATAATAGACATTAGAGACTCCGGAAGGTGGGAGGATGGGAGAAGAGTGAGGGATGAGACCCTCCCTATTGGGTACAGTGTGTATTGTTTAAGTGTTCAGGTGCTGGGTACACTAAAAGCCCAGACTTCACCAGTATGCAGTATATCCATGGAACACCGCTGCACTCGTACCCATAAATCCATGCAGAATTGTACTGTTTTAGGGCAAAGAAGAAGGGCATTTTATAAAATAATTCTGCTGATTTCTACAGGACTTTTTAGTTAGGTTGTTTCCACACCGTGAGTATGAGAAGCTGGGTTGAACGTTGTACAGGGTCAGGTTTGTGGTGCTAATTGTGTCCTTTTCCTCTGTAGCACCTGCATAAACCTCATCATGTTTGGAAGATTCCTACTCCATTTGCAAGTCACGCTTTTCACCCTGTCGATGGCTTTCTTCAGAGTCTCCCTTACCATGTATACCCTTTTCTCTTTCCATTACACAAGGTGGTTTATTTAAGTCTGTACATCTTGGTTAATATCTGGACGATTTCCATTCATGATGGTGATTTTCGTGTCCCCCAAATCTTACAGCCATTTATTAACGGCTCAGCTCATCATACAGACCACCATATGTTCTTTGACTATAATTATGGACAGTATTTTACTTTGTGGGATAGGATTGGAGGCTCATTCAAAAATCCTTCCTCCTTTGAGGGGAAGGGACCACTCAGTTATGTGAAGAACATGACAGAAGGAAAGTGCAGCAGCCATGCAGGAAATAGTTGTAAGAATGAAAAATTATTCAATGGAGAGTTTACGAAGACTGAATAGATTATTGCCCAGTTATTCTTAAGTAAGGATGAAGAAGGGAATATAATATTTCTTTTTTTTTTTAATAAGGAAAAAGTGATCTACATACATCCAGGATACATAGTAAGTAAATGGTATCATTTGGAAATCAGCATTGTGGGCACTGCTGAGGAGTGATCATAAGCGTAGGTCAGGAGAAGATGCTGTGACCACTAGGATTTTAATCTCATGCTTAAAATGCCACTAGTTGTCCCAGGGACAACTTGTGTCTTTCTAGCAGCAGATCTGTAGTTTGTATAGTCTCAACAACAATTTTAAATAAAGATAGAGAATAAATTATTGAGGGGACTAGGCTATATCCATTTGCCTTAATCCACTCATTTTTCTTAAGAATTATTGTGCTTAATAATACCAAGACTAAGCACCATTCAAGAAATACTAATATAAAGACTGTTTCTTGTTTCAGGAGAGGTTAATTCTTCAATGTTGGTATGAGAACGATGACTTGTAGTACTTTATTCAAGTCAAAACATCAGTGTGGAAAAAAAAATTATGACACATTAGAGGTGAGGTAAATGACCTAATTGATGGCAGGTATAATAAGACTATCGTCTTCCTATACGTAGAAGGCTCATTTTCTGGGCACACTGTCTCCTATTACATTTTACTGTTGAATAAATAAATAGGAATTTTAAAATATCGATACCACCATGATTGAATCCAGATCTGGGATTATGTAACTAAACATTGTGATGGTTATTATTTAAAACCATTATTTAATAGAGTAAAAATATGTGAATCTGGATATATTTAGAAAGAGAAAGTTGATGCCCAAATAATATATTAGGCACTACTGATCGTTTAGTTAAATTGATGCACTGCACTTTTGATATTTCAAAGTTACAAACCTGTGCGTTTTTTTGTAAAAGGAAATAATTGCCAAATACTGAGGCCCATTGCTGATGATTAGTTTTAAAATCACATTCCTCCTCTTCTCCCCTCACTTTTCCCTACTTCCTGTGCAAAAAAGATTTAACAAATACTTTCATAAGGAAATGTGTGTTGTAACATAAATATATTGCAAAAACATAGTTTGTAAAGGCATTCTATAAGCTATTTATGTAAAATCAATAAAAGTTGATCATTATAATTAAAGTGTATCAGTTAATGTTATAACAGCACAAAGTATTCTTTGTACAGATTTTGTGCCAATTTGAAGCCACAAAAATGATGTGGATTGTTAAATGTGTTTCAGAATGTCCCCAGATACTCAGTGTCAAGGGGAGAAAAAAAACCGGGTACCACATTCTGTTTATATTTCACATTTTAACTAGATTTGAGTGTTTTAGCAAGAAACCAGTCATAAAATCTAGTGTCTGGGGTCTAGAAGAAAATGTCTTTAATCTTTGAGTTATCGTCACAGTGTCGTTTTACTTAGATGTACCAATTAGTATTTTGTGATGGGCAAGTGTCGTTTAGTGCTTTTCACTAATCCCACCTGCTCCCAGTGCTCCACCTTGCCCGAGAAAAGGAAATTAAGGAAAAGTAAACTTTGTTTCCTAATATAAGGACAGCTAATGTTTATTGAGCGTTTCCTCTTTGCCAGGAGACTGGGACCCAAAGAAGTTAAGTAACTCTTCCAAGGTTTGTTTCTCTCTCCTATAATGTCCCATGTGGATGTTTGTGGTCAGTGGACAGCTTTCCACCTAGTCATTCTGCTACCCAGGCTCCTTTCTCTTGGGGCTCTGCCTTTCTCTCTGTCCATAGAGACCTCTTTGTTGAAGGAGCGCATAGGGAAAGAAGGAAGTTTGCGTGGAAAATGTTTATGGGTCAGGCCTGGAAGTGGTGCATATCTCTTCTGCCCATGTTCCTTTGGACAGAGCTCGGTCATGTGGCCCACCTAGACAGATTTTAGAAAATGTGCCCAGCTGTGTGCCTGGAAAGAAGGGGTCACCATTTTCTTGAGCAGCTAGCCAGTTTGCCATATTTGTGTTATTCATTCCCCTCTTCTTGATGATGAAGTGGTGAATGAGCCATAAAGTATTTCAAGTTATCCACACACTAATCGTCTTAGTGTCTTTAATTCAGTAACTCCAATATGAATGTTAAAGTTTCTTCTAGATTCTTATTCCTGTATAGCTAATAGAGAAGAAAGAACAGCTTCCCATGAGGAAGACAGAAGCTTCCTTATAGGTGTTAGGAATAATCAGACTTGCCTCTGCCCTTTCATCCATGTCAAATTCTGGTCTTTTAAAGGAGTGTTATGTAAGTAGTCCTAGCATTTTAATATACACTACAACCACATTCTCCTATTTTCTATTAGAGGAAGTCAGAGAATATTCATGGAAGTGAAGACCAAAATTACCTTCTACGGGTGACTTTGAAACCTTTTGTAGATTACAGGACAGAAAGTGAAAATCAAGATTATGTTTTCTACTTTTGTGGTAGAAATTGAGAAGTGGGTAGATATGGTTCGAGAAGACCTTTCAGAAACCTAGAGACTGAGTCTTTGTCTTCCTTCCTGTCTCTGCATTACTGAGTGTGAATTTCCTCATTCCCCTGGATCATGTTTACTTCCCATCTTCTAAAAGCTGGGGACAGATTTGGAAGAGAATTGCAAGTCCAGTTTTTTGATACATGGAGTTTCAGCGCAGGCAGGTGATTTATATAGAAAGGGGGTCTGGGAAAAAGATGGAAACCAGGGAGACAACTGAGAACAAATGTATTTGGGATGAACCCAGATAGAAGAGAAGTCTGAAATCATGAGGTTGCCACACAGAGCATGAAAAAAAAAAGATATTCAAAGACACTTACCAACTTGAGGGGTGCAATGGTCTGAATGTCTCCTCCAGAATTCACATGATGAAATTTATTCACCAGTGTGATAGCATTTAGAGGTGGGGCCTTGAGCGAGTGATTAAGTCATGAGGGCTCTGGGATTAATGATTTAAAAAGAGGTGTGAGGCAGCTGTTCAGCCCTTCTGTCTTTTCTAACATGTGAGGACCCAGCAACAGGGTACCACTTGGAAGCAGAGACTGGGGACTCAGCAGACACCAAACCCACTGGTGCTTAGCCTTGACTTCTCAGCCTCCAGAGCTGTAAGAAAATAAATTTCTATTATTTATAAATTAGCCAATTGAAGATACTTTGTTAAAGCAGTACAAATGGAATAAGACAAGGGGGAAGAAACTTCTATTCCTGATCTTCCCAACTTCTTCAAATTCATAACACTTGAATGACAGTCTTATTTCAGCACTTACCACTATCACCTATTATTTTTATGTGTGCCTTATCTATTCTAGATGCCAGATTCCTTGGAAGTAGAGATTATATCTGAATCATCATTGTATTAAACCACTTATCCTTAAAAAATGCCCAAGACGTGGTTAAGGTTCAGTAAACACTTTGTTGAATTGATTGATAAAATGGCAGAAATGTCATTCTCTTCGATATATATTTAATAAATCCCTGACAGTTGCCAAGCAATGCACTCGGTACAAACGTTAAATCTCTTCTGATGCTGTCTTGTTAGCCAACAATTTGTTTCTCATTTATTCATTAGCTGACATCTGCTAAGTGCCTTGGAGGGGTCAAAAGGGGAAGTAAGAAATCAAAGATGGTCCCTACATCAAGGATAAACTCCTTTTGTCACTCCAAGTCATAACCCTTTGGAAACCAAACCCACCAGTATTCCAGATTTTGACCACAGATGAATCAGTAATACAAGAACTGGTTAGAGGGTTGAATGAATCTGTATACTCAGCACTTAACACAGTACTCTGTGTAAAAGGAAAAAGATCCTCAAAGATACTAGTTGTTTACATCAAGAAAGGGCAAACCTAGGAGTTTCATCTATCACTTCATCTCAGAGGAACAAGAGCTTTGGAGTTAAATAGGGCTCTGCCACTTGCAAATTACATGATTGTGGTTTCTCCATCTGTAAATTGATTAAAACACTGCCTATCTAGTAAGATAAAATAAGTTAGAAGCATCCAGTTAAATGTTTGTTAACTGAAGCTACTGTTCACGTAAATTGCGCTTAATGCTTTTTTCTTTCTAGGTTCCATGATTATTATCATTATACCTCGATAGGCCCTCAATAGAAATCAGTTGCAGGCGCAAAAGCCTAGATATTTTCACCTTAAAATAGGAGGGTGCAAGACACTGAGGTGAAATAGAGATAGAGGGTACAGAGAAAACTCATGTAAGTAAAACTGACGTTGTTAACATTATTTACTGTAAGTTATCTTTGTAAGAGTGGTAAAATACATACATTATTTGTTGTTACATAATTTCATTTAAAAAAACACTTCACTTTGTGTGTTTTTGTATTGCTATAAACCATAAGGCCAGTTTACAAGGTTTGTAGATGAAACAGAAAAAAACATATAGCTTCTTTGAAAAGCAGAATACATTTCTTAAGAAAGGCAGGAAGTGTTTAAACCGTGAGTCAACAAGTTTTACTGTCAAAGCAGATTTTTGGTATGGAAAGAAAAATACTTATAAATACTTGTTTTAATATTTGCTTTATTAAAATATGTTTAAAATATAGCTTTTTAAAAATCTCTAAGCTTAACTTGGAGATCTTGTAAGTACTGTAAATTTGTTAAAAATGAGAAATTATATTCCCATTTCTTTAACAATTTGTAAGTTCCAATTATCCTGAACATTTAATGCCCTTACATATTTTCTGAATCACATTTTCTTAAACATTTGATAAAAGACAATAATATCTTGATCCAACTACCAGAAAGGCAGACTTGTGTACTTGACAGATTTTTCTAAATACTTGACAACTCACAATTCTAACATAAACACAAAATAGCATATCAAAAATTAATCACTCAATTTAAAAGCATTTATACCATAGGCTTTTATTCATTTCTTGAATAGTTTTGTTACATCTTCCTCTTTTAGGCTGCAATGAGCTATAATTAACCACATGCTGGGTGACAGAACAAGACCCTATCTCTAAAAATAAAATACATATATATATATATGTATGTATCTTCCTCTATTATACTTTAACTCATTAAGCCATCTTATTTAGATGGAAACTTGGTCCCCTGACATGTTCTATCAAACAAATAGAAACCTGGAAATTTAGTGCACATTCAAATATTAAAACAGACACTGGTGTGGTGACTTTTGTCTGTCCTGTCCCTTCATTGGGACTTTTTTCTTTCGGATCAACCTAATGAAAGTATAATTTACATACAATTAAGTGTAGCCATTTTTAATGTAGAATTCAATGAGCTTTGATGAATGTGTACACCTAGGTAACCACCACCCCCAATCAAGATAAATAACAGTTTGTTGCCAGAATAAATTTCCTTTTCCTTTGCAGTTATTCTCCCCAGCCCTAGGTCACCACTGATCCATCTTCTGTTACAGGAAGGTTATTTTCTTCCCTGTTTCAGAATTTCATATAAATTAGATAGTATGTACTCTTGTGTTTAGTTTCCTTAGCTTAAAATTTTTAGAGATACAAGCTGTTGCATATGTCTGTAGCTGTTTTGTTTTTATTGCTGAATAGTATTTCATTGTAGTATACCACAATTTGTTTATATATTTACTGATGGATATTTGCGTTTTTTCCAGTGTGGGATTATTATGAATAAAGTTGCTACAAACATCTGTGTGCAAGTCTTTGTGTGGATATATGTTATTATTTCTCCTTGGTAAATATCTGTTGGATTTGCTGGGTCATAGGGAAGAGATATATATGTATGTGTTTAATTTTATGAAACACTGTGAAACTATTTTCCAAATTAGTTGTAGCATTTTACCTTCCTGTTACCAATGATGAGAATTCCATTTTTCCCACATGTTCACAAATGGTACTGTCAGTCCTTGTTTGTAACCATTCTAGTGGGTGGGAAGTAGTGTCCCGCTGTGGCTTAATTTGCATTTTTCTGTGACTAATGATGGTAAGCACATTTTTTCCTGCCCCCTCTTTTTTTTCTTTTTCAAACTTTTTGTATCTTTTGTAAAGTATTTGTTCAAGTCTTTGGCCATTTTAAAAATTAGGTTGTTTTTGTGTTACTGATTTGTAAGATTCTTTATATATTGACACAAATCCTTTGTTAGGTGTATGTGTTACCAAGATGTATATACTCCAATTTAGCTGGTCTTTTCCTTACTATCTTTTGATAAGGAAAACGTGTTTAATTTTTATTCATACCAGTTTATCAATTTTTATCTTTCTTATCTATTGGATTTTTTGTTCCACCTTAGGACTCTTTGCAAATCCAAAAGGAAGCCTGGAATTTCCTTTGTAGGAAGGTTTTTGATGAGTTCAAATTCTTAGAAGATAAAGACTTCATGTTTTCATCTCTTTCTTTGTCAATTTTGATACACTGTTTTTCAAGAAATTTGTTTACTTCATTTAAGTCATAACATTTGTTGCCATAAAGTTGTAACATTCCCCCCCACACACACAGTTTTTTTTTTTTTTTTTTTTTTTTTTTTTTTTTTTTTTTTTTTTTTTTTTTTTTTGCTGGCAACTCAATCTTCATTGACAGTTTTATTTTTGGGGTGACCAGTGCTAAGAGGTGGAAGGTGGGGAGTAACCTTTGTGTTAGGGACCCCAGAGCACCCTCCCAGGAGAGAATAAATCCAATTAAGAACTTACATGGTGGTGGGGATGGGAAGAAGGGATACAGTATGTACAGAGGCTTAAGGGGATGCTGGAGGTCCTTCAGCAACAGGGCAACAGGACATGGAGGTGCTGAAGAGGAAGTCCGGCAGAGTCAGCCACTGATCTGGACCCCCTCAGCCTCGGCCAGAGGGTAGGTCTCAGTGGCTTCCACCAGGGGCAGCGCCTCCACCATGGGCAGCGCCTCCACCATGGGCAGCACCTCCATGGCGGTCTCCATCGCGGCCAGGCCAACAGCAGCCTCCGCCTCTGCCAGCTGCAGCCGCACAGCTGCCTGATGCTGCTGCTGATGGGTCTTGCGGTGCTTCTAGAGGTTGGAGAAGGAGCCATAGCTCTTGCCAAGGTCAGGGCAGGGGTAGGGTGGTTCGCCTATGTGCGTGCAGCGATGTTCTGCCAGGCGCATGGAGATGGCAAAGGCCTTGCCTCACACTTCGCAGGCAAAGGGCCGCTCACCTGTGTGCCGGAGCCTGTGTGTGCTTTGCCACAGTCTGGACACAGGCACGGACGCTCACCTGTGTGGATGCGCCGCTGCACCTGCAGTAACGTCTCTGTGCTGAACAGCTTCTTGCACTCACTGCACTCTAGACCCCGGCGACGGGCAGGGGCCGCAGGGGATGCCATAGCAGTGCCTCCAAGGGCTGCTGAGAGGCAACGGGCACGTGGGGCTCGAGGGGCAGGGGGCTCCTTAGCCAGGACCTCTCCAGGCCCAGCAGTCGCATGGGCCACCTCGCGTGCCTGCAGCCGAGCAGCTGAGCCCACTTTCTTGCCACAGGTGTCACACTCAAAGCGCCGTGGGGCCTGGGCAGCAGCAGCTGCTCAGCGGTGCTCCCGGAGCCGCAGTGAGGAGGGGGAGGCAGCCCCCGAGGATGGGCAGCGGTGGGGCTGGCGCCTGGCATGGACCAAGAGCTGGTGCACCTCCAGCAGCCGGCGCAGTAAGGGGCGGGGGCACTCGCGACACTTAAGGTGTATTCACCTGTGTGATGGTAGCAGTGCATGAGCAGGTGGTAAGGGCGGTGAAAACGCACCCCACATTCCTGGCAGCGGTAGGGGAGGTGCTGTGCATGCACCAAACGGTGCTGCCTCACGTGGAGCTTTGCGAGAAAGCCTTGCCACAGTCCCCAAGCCGGCAGGGCTGCTCTCCTGTGTGTGTGAGCCGGTGGCGGGCCAGGTTTGCGGGCGAGTTGAAGGGCTTGGAGCAGTCAGGGCAAGGGAAGGGCTGCTCCCCTGTGACATATGTGAGACTTAAACATCTTGCCACAAATGCCGCATTTATGGTGCTGCTCCAGCCGGTGCACAAAACGTTGGTGTTGAGTCAGCCGCAAGACCTTTTATTTATTTATTTATTTATTTATTTATTTATTTTTAAAGATGGGGTTTCACCATGACGGCCAGGCTGGTCTAGAACTCCTGACCTCGGGTGAGCCAACCACCTCGGCCTCCCAAAGTGCTAGGATTACAGGCGTGAGCCACCGTGCCCAGCCTGGCCTTTTAATGCCTATAGGATCAGTAGTTATATTTCCTATTTAACTCTGGATATTGATGATCTGTGTTTGCTCCTTTTTTTATTGGTCTGAGATAACATTAATTTTACTTATTTATTGATTGATTGATTTAGAGACAGGATCTCACTCTGTCATCCAGGCTGGAGCACAGGGATTTGACCACAGCTCATTATAGCCTTAACCTCCTGGGCTCAAACAATCCTCCTGCCTCAGCCTCCCAAGTAGCTGGGACTACAGGCACCTGCCACCACACCCAGCTTTTTTTTTTTTTTTTTTTTTTTTTTTTTTTTTTGTAGAGACAAGGTCTCACTATGTTGCCAGGGTTGGTCTTGAACTCCAGGACTCAAGCAGTTCTCCCACCTCAGCCTCCAAAAGTGCTAGAATTACAGGCACAAGCCACTGAGCCACACCCAATTTTATTGATCTTTTTAAAAACCAACTGTTAGAGGCTGAATGTGTCACACAAAATTCATATGTTAAAACTTAATTGCCAATGTGATAGTATTAAGATGTAGGACATTTAGGAAGTGATTAGATCATGAGGGCTCTGCCCTTTTAAGTGGGATTAATGTTTGTATAAAAGAAGCTACTGAGAGCTTCCTCTCCCTGTTTCCCATTCCTTCTGCCATGTGAAGGCACAGCATTCATTCCCCAAACCCCATCCCCAGGGGATACAGCTTTCAATGTGCCATCTTAGAAGTAGATACTGGGCCCTTGCCAGACACCCAACCTGCTGCCTGCTGGTGCCTTGGTCTTGGACTAGCCAGTCTTCAGAACTGTGAGAAATAAATTTCTGTTGTTTATAAATAACTCAGTCTCAGCTATTTTTTTTTATTTTTATTTTTAGCAACACAAGCAGACTAAGACACCAACTTAGCCTTGTTGGTGGCCTTGTTGATTTTTATCCATTACTTGTCTTCAATTTCATTCTTTTTTTTTTTTTTTTTTTTTTTTTTTTGAGACAGAGTCTCACTCTGTCCCCCAGGCTGGAATGCAGTGGCATGATCTTGGCTCACTGCAACCTCCACCTCCCAGATTCAAGCAATTCTCCCACTTCAGTTTCCTGAGTAGCTGGGACTACAGGCACACACCACCACACCCAGCTAATTTTTGTATTTTTAGTAAAGACGTGTTTTCACCATGTTGACCAGGCTGGTCTCAAACTCGTGATCTCAGGTGATCCATTCACCTCGGCCTTTAAAGTGCTGGGATTACAGGCATGACCCACTGTGCCTGGCCTCAATTTTATTAATTTCTGCTCCTGTATCTTTCTTTCTACCTATTGTGTATTTAAGTTGCCTTTTTTACCCCTAGATCATTTCCTATGAGGACTGCTATAGCTGTATCCCACAAATTTTGTTATGTTTTCATTATTATTAGTTCAAAGCATTTTTTATTTCTGATGGGAGTTCTTTGACTAGTGGTATGGTGGCCTTGAATTGTTACCTTACCTGAGCCAGAGCTCTGTTTCCCAGAAATACTTTCATGTGTCGTTGCAGGTTAGCATGGCTACAATGGGATCGGGGTACACAGGCTACACGAGCATGAGATTTAGAAGGTGGAAGTGGAGCAGTAGCCATTTTTATATGCTTGGGAAGTTGGAGCAGTTCATACAAATACTGTTGCAATCGGCTCCCATGTTGTCACTTCATTGGCCTGAGCAGCAGCTGCAGCTCCTTTCTGATCCTCCTTCAGCTTCTCCAAATTCCAGGCCTGCTGTATGTTTAACTTCATGATGAAGGGCTCCAACCTCTGATGCAGGACAATGCCACCTCAAACTTGAGGCTTGGAGATGGTGAAAGAAAGACAAAGGGGCCAGTCTACCATCAGAGTTGTCCTGCTCAACCTTCCAAGTTTGTACTTGCCTCCCCCACCTCACATTCATCTTTCCTTCCTGACATCCTACTCTGTAGACTTCAGATGCCAACACCAGACACAGGAACAGTCATCTCACATAGACCATAAAGTAGCCTTCACAGTTGCCTATGGTCAAATCCCTGCTTCACTGATGGAACACTGTTAAAGAATTTGGCACCAAAAGTGGTTCCAGAGATCAGCATCTTAAGAGTGTGGTCTCTCAATTGGTCCTGTGTTATCTGCAATTAGTTCTCTTACATAATTAGATTTTAAGTTAATGATCTTGTTTGCAATGGCAAAGGGGGTATTGGAAGTCCATGATGTGCACAAAAACAGCAGTTACTAAATGATCACCTATAGATACCTGTAATCAAGTGCCAATAGAAGGCAAGGCTTGAGAAGAACAAGTATTTGCTGCATAGACTGTTTTAGTGGAAATAAGGTGTATGGTAAGTTTGGTTGATTGTTTCTAAGTGTCCCAAGGAACTTGGGCAAAGAAAATGATGATCTCATGACTAAATTCCCAGATTAGGTTCCTATTAAGGAACTCCAAAGCTTCTACAACTGCCCTATAATAAACTCTTGTCTCCTATAGTTGTAATGCTAAGATTTCTGAAAACTAC